TTCAAACCCTGGTAATGGCCTTCTTAGAACTCTGAAGTCACGATGCTGTGAATAAACCCAGGACAAAACATCACGTGGAGGGAGTGTCTAGTCTACCCCAAGCAACTTAGCCACCAAAGCTCCCAGACACGAGAGTATGAGTGAGCCAGCCCTGAGTCCCAGAGATGTCTGCTGACTCTAGCCATTTGTGTAATGCAAAGCACAGAAACCACCCAAACTCCTTCAGAATTTGGAAGACAATAGTTGTTTTAGTCTAGTTTCCCAAGGTCCGCCAAGTTCCTCCGAGTGGTTTCTGATGTAGCAGTAGTTATCTCTTACATTTCCAGAAGTGAGATTGCTGGTCATGGGCGTGTAGGCATTTATCATTTTGATAAATATTGTCTGGGTTACATCACTTAGATTTCCCAATAAGGAGTGAAAAAAAAAGTTCCAGTTCCCCCAGAGTCTTGATGAAAGTGTTTTGCCAAACTTAGTGACTTAAAACTAATGGAGTAACTAAAAAGAAGTGCGTTAGCCAGGTATGGGTGGCTCACATCTGTAATCATCACTACTCAGAAGGCTGAGATGTGAGGATTGGGGTTCGAATTAACCCCTGGCAGAAAAGTCCCTGTTGAGAGTCTTTTCTCCAACTAACCATCCAAAAGCCAGAAATGGGCTGTGGCTCAAGAGGTAGCGTGCTAGCCTTGAGCACAAAGAGACACATGGACAGAGCTTGAGTTCAAGCCCCACAACTGACAGAAGAAAAAAAAAGTAGTGCTTTAATGTTGTTTTAGTTTTCAGCTTTATGAGTGCATATGTGTGTGTGTGTGTGCGTGTGCGTGTGTGTGTATCCCAGATTTGGGGCTTCTACTTGACCTCCGGCTCTCACTTAGCTTTTTCACTCAAGGCTGGCACTCTAACACTTGTTGGAGATAAGAGTCTCATAGATTTTTCTGCCCAGGCTGTTTTAGTGCCTTGAGCTCTTCAGCACATGGAAAGCACTCTACCACTCGAGCCACCGTGCCACCTCCGGTTTTCTGGTGCGTAATTGGAGATAAGAGCCTCATGGACTTTCCTGCCCAGGCTAGCTTTGAATCTCCATCTTCAGATCTCAGCCTCCTGAGTAGCTAGAATTACAGGCATGAGCCACCAGCGTCCAGCCTTTGACCCTCTCCCCTCACCCCCAATGCTAGTGCTCTACCTCTTGAGCCACAGCAACCCTTCTACCTTTTTGTGGTTAATTGGAGATCATCAGATCAGAGTCTCATGGACTTTCCTGCTTGGGATAGCTTTGAACCATGATCCTCAGATCTCAGCCTCCTAATGCCTCTGGAATATCCAGGAAAGGACATCCAAAGAACTGGGACATCTGGAGGCCCAGGACTCCAAGGATTGTAGCATTGAAGAATATTTGGGCTTTGGACATACAGATTTGGGGGCCACAGGCAGCTATCAGGTAAAGCATGTGAGGATGAAGCATTTGAAGAAGGAAAGGTCTCAGCTGGAACTTTAGGTCAAGTTCAGACCCCAAACATACTCAAGAGGTTAGAACTACAGAGGTGCAATCTCCATGGCTGATGCACTTGCCACATAAACATCCTTAGAGACGTTGGTCGGGAGGACAGAGGCTCTTAAAGGAGATAGGGGTGGATATCTTTTGGCTCCCTGGGAACCAAGTAAACAGGGAGAGGGAGGACCATCCTCTCCCAGAGTCAACACTAACCCAGCGGTGAGGGAAAGAGACATTGCGACAGGGACATTAGATGTCTCTGTCAGGCCCACAGTCCATCCCCTGGAAGATCCAAAGCAGAGTAGCCATCAGGGCAGCAAGTCCCCACAGCAGGTAGAACACGGGAGCCACTGTTAACTGGTATTATTCTTTTCTTTTTGTCAGCCATGGAGCTTGAACTCCAGGCCTCTGAACTGTCCCTGAGCTCTTTTGTTCAAGGCTAGTGCTTTACCTCTTTGAGCCAGTCCTCCACTTCTGCTTTTCTGGTGGTAAATTGGAGATAAGTGTCTCAAGATCTTTCCTGCCTGGCTGGCTTTCAACCATAATCCTCAGATCTCAGCATCCTGAGTTGCTAGGATTACAGCCAGCCAGCTGGTATTTTCTCTTCTGTTCTTTTTAGCAGAGCTGGGAATGGACCCTCCAGCATCTCCTTCACCTCATCTAACTTCGCTGCCTTATCCCTACCTCTCAATCGTTTTGGTAAATATTTTCAGTGCAACAAGAATATAGATCTGCCGGGCTGGGAAGGTGGCTCAGTGGTAGAGTGCTTGTCTTGCATGCATGAGGCCCTAGGTTTGATTCCTCAGCAACACATGAACAGAAAAAGCTGGAAGTGGTGTTGTGGCTTACGTGGTAGAGCATAGCCTTGTACTGAAGAGCTGAGGGACAGTGCCCAGGCCCAGAGTTCAGGCCCCACAACTGACCAAAAAAAGAATAAGATATAGATCCGCTGGACACCGGTGGCTCATGCCTATAATCCTAGCTACGCAGGAGGCTGAGATCTGAGGATTACAGTTCAAAGCCAGCCCCGGCAGGAAAGTCTGTGAGACTCTTATCTCCAATTAACCACCAGAAAACCAGAAGTGGTGAGGTGGCTCAAGTGGTAGAGAGCTAGCCTTGAGCTGAAGAACTCACTCAGGGATAGTGCCCAGGCCCAGAGTTCAATTAAAAAAAAAAATCTAGATCCTACAAGCTACTACTGCCTGGCTTTAAATTCTGGCCCTATCATTGACCAGCTATGGACACATTACTTCTCTGAGCCTTTGTTTACTCTTGTGTAAAATGAAAACCAAACCTATCTCAAAGAATTGTTATGAGGATCCTATATATGTGTGTGTGTGTGTGTGTGTGTGTGTATAGTTGTTGTTGTCAGGCCTGGAGCTTGAACTCAGAGCCTGAGCACTGGCCCTGAGATTCTTTTTGCTCAAGGCTAGAACTCTACCACTTGAACCATAGTGCCATTTCTGGCTTTTTCTGTTTATGTGGTGCTGAGAAATTGAAACCAGGGCTTCATGCATGCTAGGCAAGCACTCTACTGCTAAGCCACATTGGTGTTTAGCACATCGAAGTACGATAAAATATTAAAAAGAATTTAATGCATGTATGAATAGTTTGTTCATGATCAGCTAGTATGTGCCAGGCACTGTTGAAGGCCCTAGAGATCCAGCAGTGAATATCCAGTCAGACGATTATCTCTGTCCTCATGGAGTTTATATTCTAATGGGGTTGTTGGTGGTGAAGACACAAAATATATAAGGTAAATACATAAAAAAAAATATGGTCTGTCAGGTCCAAGGGGAGACAGGCAAGCTATGCAGAGGTTTCTGTTCTAGCTCCAAACTGGGATCCTCAGATCTTAGCCTACTGAATAGCTAGGCTTACAGGCATGAGCCACCCATACCCGGCAAGAGCAATTATTTTTGTCTGACAGTATGTGTCCAGTAAATATTAGTCAAGCCAGGGCTGAGAAATGGCACAGTGACAGCCTGAAGCTTAAAGATTAGGGAACCATGACTTTTATTTTCCAGTACACAAAGGCTGGGTGCTGGGGCCACAGTAATGCTAGCTACTCAGGAAGCTGAGATGCAAGGATCAAAGCTCAAAGCCAGCCTGGGTAGGAAAGCTCATGAGACTCTTATCTTCAATTAACCACCACAAAAGCCAGAAGTGGAGCTGTGGCTCAAGTGGTAGAGTATCAACCAGCCTTGAGCAAAAAAAGCTCAGCAACAGTGCCCAGGCCCTGAGTGAAAGTCCCAGTACCACACAGGCGTGTCCGTAACATGGCTTAAACTCGGGGTCTGGAATTCTTGCTTGGCTTTCTTGCTCATAGACTGGTGCTCTACCACTTGAGCCACACCTTCCAGATCATCATTTTGCTGGTTATCTGGCGATAGCTGTCTCATCCTGGCTGACTCTGAGCTGCCTCAGCTTCCCGAGTAGCTAGGATAATGGGTTCGAATCACTGGCACCAAGTTGGAAGGCTAAAGATTCTGAACACATCTTTTCTTAGGGCTCATGATGTGCATGGTAGTGAGCTTGGTGCTGGGATTCGGTGGAGAGCAAGGAAGCCACGCCTAGACCTCAGGTGCAGGGTGGAGGGGTGTAGGTGATCGGAAAGCATCCGGATCCACCCAACACAGACGCTTCTGTCAGCTGCCCTGAAATGGTCTCTGCTCGGAGGTGGCAGGCACGGCGGGCCCGCAGTGTCCTCGCCGGAGCCGGCCGCCCACCTGTCGGGCTGTGCCAGGAGGATGCGGGAGAAGAGATTGCAGCCTCGGGTGAGGTCACTTCCCACCCCCAGATCCTCTGCCTGCCAAAAACCCTGCAGTTCTCTGACGGCGAAGATGCAGATCGCATTATGTTCTGGCCTTCAAGGTCCCCGCGATGCTCGCTGCTCTCCTCCCCAAGGTCCCCTCCGCGGCCCGCGGCGTGGGGAGGGGAAGCCGTCCCGCCGTCCCGCCCCCGATCCCCCCGCAAGCAAGGAAAAGAGCATTTGGCACGCCATCGCCCTCCGACTCCACAGGGCTCCGGGGCGGGCAGCGACCCTTCCCCGGCTCCGACGCCGGGGGTTCGGGTGGGGACGTCGTGAGATCCGCCGTCCCCGAGGCCGCGTTGACAGAGCCGGGACACGTGACGGCCCGAGTCACGTTCTGCGGCGCTCGAGGCCGGGGGGGGGGCGGGGGCAGGCCGGTCACGTGACGCGGCGGTGGGGGCGGACGGGGGCCGGGGGAGAGAGCCATGGGGTGATCTGAGATGCGGGTCTCTCGGATGACGTGCGGATGACGCGTTGCCGCCTCTTTTGGCGACCAGATTTCCATTTGAAGATCCGACGTTTCGACCGAGGGGGGGCGGGATCTCACGTCCTGGCAGGGACACTTCCGTTCGGGGCGCCGTGGCTTCCGGTCTCTCTTTCCTTTCCTCCTCCCCCCCCCTCCCGTCTCCTCCCCGCCCCTGGGGGTGAGGAAGGGACGCGAGCTTCTGCGCATGCTCGAATCATCCCGGAGGGGAGGGGCCGTGGGTGCAGCGCGGGAGGGGGGAAGAAGTGGGAATTCCAACCTGTGGGATTTTAGGGGGGGTCCCGAGGACAGCTCCTTCCAATTTTCTGTGAACGGTGCAAGGGGCGGGGTGTTCCGCGGCTCGGAGAGGGTGGTGGCGGGGTTCTCGGGACGAGGGGGTTACTGTCAGTGCGAGTGGGGTACGAGACTTCCAAACTTAGAATCTTGAGGCCCTCGGGGCTCGGGCCGCCATGCGCGACCGGACCCACGAGCTGAGACAGGTGAGCAATCCGGGCGGCGGGGCCGGGGGCACGGGCGGACGGACTGGGGTGCGCGAGCCCTGACCCCCGGAGCCGGGAGGGATGGCTGGTGGCCAGGAAGGAAAATCCCGGAAGCCTGTGGGTCCTGCGGGGTGAGAGCCGCAGCGAGGAAGTGATGCCAGAGACTTGGGCCCTGGCAGGGGGAGAACAGCTCGGATGATGAGGACAGGGAGCGCGTCGCGCTGGTGCAGCCGGGCACGGCCAGGCTGGGCAGCCCGGACGAGGAGTTCTTCCAGAAGGTAAGAGGCGCGCGTCTTGGCCTGGATTCTCCGAGGGGACCGGAGGACCGAGGAGCATGGTGGCCTGCAGTGCTACATAGCCCTCTCGGTTCTCCTTCCTAGGTCCAGACAATTCGGCAGACTATGGCCAAGCTGGAGAATAAAGTCCGGGAGTTGGAGAAGCAGCAGGTCACCATCCTCGCCACGCCCCTTCCCGAGGAGAGTAAGCACCCCCCCCCGCAGACGCGTGCGCAGCCCGATGGATTGTGGGGGTTGTAGTTCCATGCAGGTGTTGGCTGAGGAGGTTTACTTGAGGTGTGTTAGGTGGGGGGAGAAGGGGGGAGGGAATCTGTGGTTTGGAAGTTGTGGCCTTCTCCTTTAGGCATGAAGCAAGACCTGCAGAACCTGCGCGAGGAGATCAAACAGCTGGGGAGGGAGATCCGCACACAGCTGAAGGGTGAGTTAGAGCTTCAGACAGGTCTTTCCCTCCAGTCCCGCCCCATTCCTGACACATCTAATGAGTATGTGGCTCAGAGAGGCCAGTGATATATCAGGGTGACACAGTAAGCATGGCTCTAGAATCTCTGCCCGCTTTCGGCTTCCTTTATTTACAATGAAACTATTCACTCCTGTAGTTCTTGCTTTCCCATGTGCATCCTGTAAGGAGACACTTGGGAGTTTCATTAAGAAGCCTCTTCAGGGCTGGGAAGGTGGCTCAGTGGTAGAGCACTTGCCTTGCATGCCTGAGGCCCTGGGTTCGATTCCTCAGCACCACATAAGCAGAAAAAAAAAAGCCAGAAGTGGTGCTGTGGCTCAAATGGTAGAGTGCTAGCCTTGAGCTGAAGAGCTGAGGGACAGCACCCAGGCCCAGAGTTCAGACCCCACAACCGGATCAAAAAAAAAAAAAAAAAAAAGATGAAGCCTCTTCAAACTTGTGGAACATGCTGATGTAATGCAAAGAAAAATAAACTTTCTCCTGTTAGAGGCTCAAAATCACCATATTTTTTTTTGGGGGGGTGTTGGAAATCAAATGTGTGTGCTAAGCACACATTACCAGAGCTCCATTTCCAACCCCTACTCATTTTATAATAAAAATCCTACAAAGACAAGAGCCTTCCTGTTATGCAGCCAAGATTTCGTCCTGGCCCTGTGTCCTAGACTTCAAATAGTTTTTAGAAGACTTAGGTCAAGCTGAGTAGTAAGTGTCTCATGCCTGTAATTCTAACCACTCAAGAGGCTGAGATCTAGATGATTATGGTTGGAGGTCAGCCCCAGGCAGAAAAGTGTGCTAGATTTCATCTCCAAAATAACCAGCAAAGTGGTGTGTGTGTGGGGGGGTGTCTCATGCCTGTAACCCTAATTTTTGTTTTTTTTTTATGCCTCCTCCTTTGTTTTTCCCTTGCCATCCCTTCCCTCCCATCTCCACAACTACATTCATCCCCTCCTCCCCCCTGCCTAAACTGTAAAGTTTAGCATCTTGTACATGTCATTGTTGCAGTGGGTCAACCTGTATCCCTATTTAAACAATTTGTTTTTTCCTCTTCCCCTCCCCAAACTATACCAACATCAAATACAGTGAAAACAGGGGTTATACCGTGGGGGAGGGACATACAAAACAACAAAAAAATCACGTTTTAAGTCTCAGATCAAACCTTCCTTTCCCCCAACCCTTGTTCTTTTTTTTCCCCATAGCCATAGAGCCCCAGAAGGAGGAAGCTGATGAGAATTACAACTCAGTCAACACGAGAATGAGAAAAACCCAGGTAGGTTTGGTTTTCCTAGAATTAAGGCATTTCAGTAAGTGTTTCATAAATCATTAAGTGGCAGATTGTGGAGGAAGGGCTCTTAGAGATTTTCAAATCCATCATCTCTGGCTAGATGATTTTTCCAAATGGGGAAGTTGAGGCTCAGAGAGAGAACTCCCTCCAGGTGAGAGAACTCAGGTGTCTTGATGTTCAATCTGTTGTAACACCAGCTTTCTTCTCCATTCTGCTGTGTCCCAGACTTGGTGTAGGAAGATGGGCCTTTCAAAACCTCTAGATTGTGTAGGGACTAAAGACATTGCATATACAGGACTTAGTTGTCGAGACCTTTGCACTGGGAGGAAAAGGGAGAAGTCAGAAATGACTGACAGGTTTTCCACCTACACAATAGGGTCATCCTTGACCCATAGACAGATTAAATAAAAACCAGGAAGAGGAACATTGATGGGGTAATACTAAAGAGGAACTTCTTTGGGAGCAATATCTTAGTAAGCAGATTGATCTGGCTAGGTTCTTTTTTTGGAAGGTCATGGGGCTTGAACTCTGGGCCTGGGCGTTGTCCCTCAGCTCTTCAGCTCAAGGCTAGTGCTCTACCACTTGTGCTACAGCACCACTTTCAGTTTTCTGAATTTTTTGAAGATAAGAGTTTCATGGACCTTCCTGCCCAGGCTGGATTTGAACCATCATCTTCAGATCTCAGTCTCCTGAATAGCTAGGATGACAGGCGTGAGCCACCAGCACCTCGCCTAACTAGGTTCTTGATTTAGTGTTTTGGGAGGCTTGGATTAGAGTAGATGAACTCCAAGCTCAGTAAAGCTCCAAGACTAGAAATGGAGAGATTTGAGTGTCTTAGAAGGAGGCAAAACAGAGTCGAGAATAGCAAATACCTGTCTAAAGAAAGAGAGCTCATTTAAGTCATCAAGACAGGAACAAGGTAAGGCATTTCTGGGAGACCCTGTGGTGGTCCTTAGTGTGAGATGCTAAGTGTCCAGGGGAGCCTTGGTACACCTAGGCACTCAAACATCCCTTTAGTGTAAGCAGTGAGCTGACCTTCAGCAAGTACTTAACAGGTACACAGGGACTGTCTACTGTGTGCCATATCCTTTGTGAACAAAAAGTAGCCAGGCACTGGTGGCTCATGCCTGTAAGCCTAGCTACTCTGAGAATTCAAAGCCAGCCGGGGCAGGAAAATCTATGAGACTCTTATCTCCAATAAACCATCAGAAAACTGGAAGTGGCACTGTGGCTCAAGTGGTAGAGCACTAGCCTTGAGCTGAAGAGCTAAGGGACAGCTCCCAGACCCAGAGTTCGAGCCCCAGGACTGATTAACCACCAAAAAGCTGAAAGTAGAAGTCTGATTCAAGTGGTAGAACACTAGTCTTTTGCAAAAGAAGCTCAAGGACAATGCCCAGGCCCTGAGTTCAAGCCCCAGTGTGCATGTGCACTACCCCCATATAAATACTTATATTTTAGTCAAGTGAAGCAATTGCCATAATAAAATAAATTCTTTTAGAACACAGTATTTTAAAAAATAGGAAAGAAGCTGGGCACTGGTGGTTCATGCCAGTAATCCTAGCTACTAAGGAGGCTGAGATCTGAGGATCACAGTTCAAAGCCAGTCCTGGCAAGAAAGTCTGTGACACTCTTATCTCCAGTAAACCTCCAGAAATGGCGCTGTGGCTCAAGTGGTAGGGTGCTAGCCTTGAGGTGAAGAGCTGAGGGACAGCGCTCAGGCCCAGAGTTCAAGCCCCAAGACTGACCCTCCCCCCCAAAAAAAAATGGGGAATGAAAAGGGTTGCAATTTAGATAACATTTGGAAGGGTTGGAAGGACTCAGGTTATTATGTATGCTTAGCATGCTCATAGCCCTGGGTTCCCCCACCCAGTATTACAAAAAAATAAATGTGTGTGTGTGTGTATGTGTGTTACAGAAAGTTCTCAAATGTCAGAACAAAGACATAGGGGTGTTTGTGGGGAAGGAGCAGTTCAGTCCAAAGGTCTGGAGTGGAGGACCCCTGTGGTTTGATGGATGAATGATGGAGTGAGGAAGAGGAGAGAACAGTGGGGGGAAGGGGAGGAGGCTGAGAGGGGTCGTGGGTGCTGCAGCAGCTTGTGTAGGGCCATGAAGGCTTTGGCTTTCCCGGACCGAGAGGCGATGGAGCCTGGCCAGGTTATGATGGGGTGGTAAAGGCAATGGGCGTCTCAGGAAACTTATGCTGTTGTTCCATGAGACTTCTAAGGCAGGCAGCCATCTACTCAGGGTCCCTCTCCTGCACACTCTGTCCTTAGCACGGAGTCCTGTCCCAGCAATTTGTGGAACTCATCAACAAGTGCAACTCAACACAGTCCGAATACCGCGAGAAGAACGTGGAGCGCATCCGGAGACAGCTGAAGATCAGTGAGTGGGGGCGGTCAGCCAGCCGCATCGCATCCAGGAATGCTGACCCAGCTCTGAGCCGGCCCTTTCTTTCATAGCCAATGCTGGAATGGTGTCAGACGAGGAGCTGGAACAGATGTTGGACAGTGGGCAGAGCGAGGTGTTTGTGTCTAATGTGAGTGGCCACAGCCATCCGCCTCTCAGCGCTCTGATGTATGGGGAAGGGGGTGGAGCTTGAACTCAGATCCTCCCAGTTGCTAGGCTGGTACACTGGAGCCACGCCCCCTGCCTTCCCCTAGGTGTCTATAGATTAAGAGTAGCCATCTCTTTCAGAAGAGAATTCCTTTGCATGCTTAGAGTCACTCAGCAAGCCCTGGCCAGAGCTCCTTCAGCAATTTCCAGGTTTCTGGCTGATCTCTTTCTCTCTGACCTGTTCCCTTACTCATGTCCACCCCCCCCCTCACTCCCCCCAGATATTGAAAGACACCCAAGTGACCCGACAGGCCTTAAACGAGATCTCAGCCCGGCACAGTGAGATCCAGCATCTGGAACGCAGCATCCGGGAGCTTCATGAGATCTTCACTTTCCTGGCTACTGAGGTGGAGATGCAGGTGTGTGTCCTGGGTCACCTCCAGACTCAAGATCATATAGTCAGAACCCAGAGCTGTGACCTGGGGCCACCGCTACCCTTACACTCTCTCCTGGGCTTTTGTGCTCTTCCTGGCTGGGCTGGGCCCCCAAAGGTAGCATTTACCCAAATCCCCAAGCTACCCAAATGGCAATATATATCTCATATATAGTGCTAAAGCCAATGCCTACTTGGAATCATAGGAAAGGGCTCTCATTCAGTAGGACCTGAAGGCTGGTAGTACCAGGAGGAGGCAGGGACAGGGAAGGGCTTTCTAGCAGCTGGGAAATGGGCTTAGAAGAATGGATGAATTCAGACACATTTGTGTCTGAATAATAGTTCACCATCTTCCCAGTGCTGGTGGCTCACGCCTGGAATCCTAGCTACTTAGGAGGCTGAGATCTGAGGATCTTGGTTCAAAACCAGCCCAGGCAGAAAAATCTGTGAGACTCCAATTAACCACTAGAAATCTGGAAGTGACACTGTGGCTCGAGTGGTAGAGTGCTTGCCTTGAGCCAAAGAGATCAGGGACAGCACCCAGGCCCAGAGTTCAAGCCCTACAAATGACCCCCCCAAAAAAGTTCACTGTCTGTGAAAAAGGTATGAGTCATTTAAGGCCCTGGGGTCAAATGGACATATAGAATATGAGAACAGGGTAGAAAGGTCCACATGGCCAAAGAGGACCTGGAAACCACTATTCTTAGGAGTCTGAATTTCTGGTCAGATTTGGTCCACTGGATCTTAGTTGGTATAGCTTTTTGCTTTCATTAGGGGCTGGGAAGGTGGCTCAATGGTAGAGTGCTTGCCTTGCATGCATGAGGACCTGGGTTCGAGTCCTCAGCACCACATAAGCAGAAAAAGCTGGAAGTGGGGCTGTGGCTCAAGTGGTGGAGTGCTAGCTTGAGCTGAAGAGCTGAGGGACAGCGCCCAGGCCCAGAGTTCAAGCCCTACGACTACATCAAAGGACATTCTAGGATGGGCAGAGGAGCTGCTGCACCCCCATGCCTCCCTTACCTGCCCCGTTCTCTGAGCAGGGGGAGAGAGCATCCATACCTCCCTGAACTGCCCTATCCTCTGAGCAGGGGGAGATGATCAACCGGATTGAGAAGAACATCCTGAGCTCAGCAGACTATGTAGAACGTGGACAGGAACACGTCAAAGTAGCCCTGGAGAACCAGAAGAAAGCGAGAAAGGTGAGACTCCAGCCCTGCCCCCTGGCCCTCAGAGCTTCTGAGTGGTCTTCCCTGACCCTTCCTCTCCTTCTTTAGAAAAAAGTGATGATTATCATCTGTGTGTCCATCACTGTCCTCATTCTGGCGATCATCATTGCCATCACCACAGTAGTGGGATAATGACACATGTTCTTGGTGAGATATGGTGGGGCTTCCCTAACCCCCAACACCAGTCTCCTCTCTTCCCCTCAGACTTTCTTTGTCATCCTTCTCTTGTAGGCACTGGGGATCCCAGGGACCCAGGGACCCAGGGCCTGGCCTTCTCTCCCAGCAATGGTGGGGGCAGAGCAGAGCCTCCAGCTGGACTGACCTCACACTGGCCCCCTGTACAGAGGGGCTGATGGTTCTTTGGGGGTTGGTAGCTGCTCATTCATGGGGGAGGGGTCCCCTCTCCAACCTGTGTGGCGTTTGGGGAGGACAGTGCCTTCGGTGTCCTGTTTGGCTGCAACACATGATTTTTATAAGAAAAATAAAAAAGTAAAGAAAAAAGCTTGGAGACTTTTGTGCCTGTGTATTAGGCCAAGGCCTTTTGTATCCCGGACATCTCCTGGCCATCCCCAGCCAGGCCCCATTCTGGGCAGACTCGGGTCAGACTGCCTGAGGGGTTGCAATTACAGCAGTCTGACTCTGATGGGTGGAGTGGATTGGGGAAGTAACACCCACAGCTGCTTCAGCTCAATACTGTTCTGTCACTGACTAAAAAAATCCTTGAAGCCATAAGTTGACCAGGCCAGGCTGGGACATAGATGAGATGTATGTAAGAGACGAGATCTGAGGCTTTCCTGAGGCCACAATGAAAAGGCATCATGAAAAAGTAATTGAGGCTGTTAACTTTGAATCCACTTGATGGAGGGCTGGTCTCACAGGGGGCCACATTTATTTGGAATAGTCAATGAGGAGACAGTTTTGGAAAGAGGCAAAAAGAGGATGTGAGGACGGTCACCAAGCCCTGAACCGCCTTTTATGACCTGGACTTTGCACACCATCGCCACAGAGCAGTGGCCTTCCTGACTTACAGGTTATTGGGGGTGGGGAGGAGCAGGTAGAGGAGGGAGAAAGCCAGGACCCTGGTTTCTCCAGGCATTTCAACTTCAAGCCCTGATGCCACGTTTCTAGCGGTTCTTCGCTCAGGAGCCTAATTTCTAGACAGGGATCTATATGGCTGCTGTCCAGGACACCTGGTTCAAAGGACGAGCTAGCTGGCTGCCGGCCGGATGCCTGGCCAGCATGGAGCTGGGCTTGGCTTGGATCCCCAAGGTCTGTACTTGCTTTCCCCGCCCCTGTCCCTCGGCAGTGTGAATTGGAAGGCGCATCCCTGGATCTGGATTGGCGGAGGAGCCGGGGGCCCGAGGGCCGGGCCGAGCCTAGTGGCTCTGCCAGTTCGCCTCCCATTCGCTGGGGCCGGCTAGCCGCAGCGCCCCCGTGTGGTCGAAAGTGGCAAGGCTGGCCAAGCATGAACCCAGCGGAGCTCCCGCCCCCCAGGGGTGTGGCCTAGCCTCACTCGGTGATGATTGGTCACCGCTCTGGGTGTAGCTGTAGGATGCTCTTGTTGGAGGCCCCCTAGATGGCAGAGGATCTGGGTGAGGTCTCTGAGTGCCACGCTGACCCCAGTAGAGTCTGCTTAGCATGGGAAACCATCTATCAGACCATGATAGGGGCTTCAGAGACCTATCTCTGAGTTTTGGGACTTCACCGAAGTCTACCTCAGAGAA